TGGTAGTGGCGCAGGATGATGCCCTGCACGGCCGGCACGGAGAGGGTCACGCCAGCAGTTACACCGCGCCGGCCCTCGTCCAGCACCGCTCCCCCGCCGTGCCGGCACAGCTGGCCCAGGATGAAGAGGAAGCGGGAGAGGTGCGGGCGCTGGGGCCCCTCCCGGTCGGGGTCCTGGAGCCAGGTGGCGTACACCCCGGCCAGCTGCGCCACGGCCGCCGCGGCGGGCGGGGCAGACCGGGACAGCGCGCACAGCGTGCGACACGCCGCGCCCACCACCTGCGAGGACGCGGCGGGGGGGGGGCTGGACAGGTGCGGGGCTCGGTGCATGGAGAGGGGGCTGTGTGATCTGCGTGGCGGCTGGCCCGAGACCCACCCACACACCCGTCGCAGAGCTCCGCCGCCCGCATCCCTCCGGCGCCCGCCACCCCCTCCGCCACCCCTTTCGGTACCCTTTTCGCCACCCTTTCCGGTACCTGGACAAAGGGGTGCTTGTTGACCAGGGACGCCAGCGTCTCCACCAGCCCCGCGCCCTGGGCGAGCAGCGTGGCGGGCCCCAGCGCCTCCACCAGGCTGTGCACCAGCGCCAGCAGCGCCAGCAGGTAGTCGGCGTGCAGCCGGTCCCCGGCGCCTGGGTGGGGCGTTGGGGTGGGGGGGTTGGGGGGTCCGAGGTGCGAGAATCAGGGCATGTGTGCTGTGCTGCAGCGACGCGCAGGATTAAACGTGCCCCATTCCATCGCACGGCGGTTGTCATCACAGACGCAAGGGTGACCGGCTCGCAAAACGCAGAACAAACACCAACCATGTCGCCGTGTTCCCATGCACCTGCAGAGCCGGCGCCCCGGAGGTAGGGCGCCAGGCTGGCCAGCATGGAGCCGGGCCGGTCTGGCGGGAGGCAGAGGTCCGGCGAGACCCTGGCCAGCGCGTGGAGGGCCAGCAGGGGGCCCAGCGCGCCGGCGTGTGCGGCCGGCTCCTCCCCCTCGTGCGCCGCGATGACCTGGCCCAGGAGGGCCCCGGCCATGGCGCAGCCCGCCGAGTGGCGTGCCTGGAGGAGAAGAGCGGGGTTCGGGGGAGGGGCCAGGGTGGAGCGCAAGGGCCTGCATCGTCACCCCGCCCTGCAGCAGCCTCTCGAGCTCGCATGCCCCTGCACCCCCTGCCCCAGGCCGGCATCCACCCTCCCCGGACCCCCTCTCGGCCCCACCAGGCACACCTGTGCATCTCTGCCCGGACCACCGTGCTCGAGGGCGGCCCGCAGCACCACGACCAGCGGGTGGCCGAGCTCCAGCGGCAGGTGGAAGGCGCGGCCGGCGCCCCGCCTCATGCTCGCGGCCAGGGCCGCCAGGAGGGAGGCCCGGACACCCAAGCTGGCGCCGGCCTGCGCCCGCCCGGCGCCCAGCGGCGGCGCTCCCTGGAGGGAGTCTGGGGGCTGCTCTCCTGGGGGCAGTCCCGTACCTGAGCCTCGCACGGTGGAGGACAGGGAGGACTCAGAGTCCGACAGTCGACGTGCGCGGCGTCGAGGAGCGCAGGCTGGGAAGCACTGTCTGGGTGTGGCACAGGCCCCAGGGCTCCCATGGTGCAGCCGGCACGCCCCGGCACGCAGGTCTCGGAACACAAGACTCCCACTGCCGTCCCTCACACGCCCCCCCTCTCCCACGCCTTCCCCTACCCCGGCCCACCTGCCGGCGCCGGCGTGCCGTCGGCAAACCAGAGGGCGTGGAAGGTGCGCGCCACCACGTCCCGCACGCTGGCCTCGGCGTCCCCGGCCCGCAGCAGGATGTGGCGCGCCGTCTCCATCGCGCGCGGGCTGGCGGGGTCCGGCAGCAGGAAGCAGTCGGCCAGGGCCCTGACGCCCACCTTCCTCACCGACACGCCCACGTCTGCAGGCCGGGCATGGGTGGC